CCCCAAAACCCCAAAACCCCAAAACCCCAAAACCCCAAAACCCCAAAACCCCGCTTTTAGCACAAAAAATTGTTAAAACTTTATAATTTGTATTATAAATTTATGAAGAGCTTAAAGACAAATAACTCACAGGAAAGAGTTCCTAGTGAGGATGGTTTCGGAATTGATATCCTTGGTTTAAATTCAAAAAGATCACCTAAAATTACTTGTAAAAGACCAAAACTAACTCTAAAACTAGCTAAATTAACTAAGAAAAGGGCTAAACCTCAAAAAGGTCTCTCAGAAATACATAAAACTTACGAGATTGGAGAAACTATAGGGTTTGGGACTTATTCTCTAGTAAAACTTGCAACCAACAAGAAAACTGGAGAGAAAGTTGCCATCAAGATCTGAAGAAGAGAGAACTCAAGAGAAATGGCTAAGAAAGAGTTTGAAATTCTGAAATCCTTGAGACAGAGTACTATAATACAACCCAAGGATTTCATTGAAAACGAAGCTGAAAATGAGTCCTACCTTATTCTTGAATATTTTGAAGGCATGACACTTGACAGATATGTTAAAGAACATGGTCCTCTTGAGGAAAAAGATACTGAAAAGGTAGCAACAGCTCTGGCTGAGTGTATATCCTATCTTCATTCAAACGGGATCGCTCATAGAGACCTCAAGCCAGAAAATGTACTTATCAATGAAGATAAAGAAATCAAGCTAATTGATTTTAATATCTCCAAGAAGGGAAGAAAGAAACTGGTGGAAACAAAGAGAGTGACAAAATTTTCAAAGATATTCTATACCCAAATATCATCTCCTCTATACGCAGCCCCTGAGATCAGAAGCAAGAAGCTCTACACAGAAAGCATTGATATCTGGGGGTTTGGAGTTATCATATTTACTTGTCTATTTGGCAGAATAGAAGACTTCGCAGAGTTATACAATTCAGCAAAATCTTTCAAAAGAATCGAAGATTATATAATTTCAGAAGAAATATCAAGCTTATCCTTACAAAGACTGCTCATTGACTGTCTTAATGAAGACCAGGACCTGAGACCAACTGCAGCTGAGCTTTCAGCTTACTTAAACTAAGTTCTAAAATAATTTTTACAGAAGTCGTATTTTCAAAAATTGGGAACTTTTCATGGCCAGTCTTCAAACCATAGGTAATGGGTTTAGAAACTTTTTATCAACGATTATAATTATAAAAAACAGCCTTGAGTGAAAATATCGGACTGTTTACTAAAATAGGCTACTTTTTTGGCAGCCAGAAGTTGTTTAAACTACTCCCATCCAAAGTTTACACAATTTCTAAAATAATTAGTTATCAAAACTGCAGTTTATCATAAGAAAATTACTAGCTTCTTGCTTGCTCTCAACACGATAGTTTGAATTAAAATGATAAAAATCATGAATCTTCTTGAAACAATTAGAAACTTTTCTTCGTGCTTAATAAATTATTTGTAAAATTTAAACTACCATATCTGTTTTAATTCCGGGTTGACCAAATTGTGAAACCTCCATTAAAGTGTACTATTGATGTTAAACCCTCTTCCAAAGACCTAGAGGGTCTCAGTTATCCGCAGATAAGCTCGAAGCTAACTAAATCTTGAATTGATAGCTTTATTAATGAGGAAATGCTATCTAAATATTTTCATAAATAGTAGTAGAAACTCTTTCAAAAAATTTATTAATAAGAAAACTCGCAGAATTTTTGCAGTTTTAGAGGAATTAGCATTCAGATTCTGCTATGAAGTTTTATAACGTGAGGGAAGTTATTACGGCGCTTTGATCTTTCTCTTTGGAAGGTAGATATGAGGTTAAGGTGGTGACCAAGTCGTGCTTTCATACCTTGATAAACCCGAATTTGCATTCATAAAGCTTCAGTTAAGGCCTTAAAAGTAATAGGAAATTGTTATGAACAGAGGAATAAAGGGGTAAAATTAATTATAGTTGTTGGGGAAAGTTTTAGGACAGTTTACATTATAAAATAAAGGTTTGGTTTTAAGAAGATCCTTAACAGCCAAAGTATGAAATTTTTATGAGTGTCGTCCAAGAAATTTCAGTATTAGCTCCTTATAATGAAACTAAAGCCAAAGAGTAATCAGTAATAATTTTGAATGATCTTTGAGCCTCTTAAAATATTGCATTATTTATATATTCTCTAGTCTAAAAATCACCAATAAACTAGTTAAAAACTCTATTTCCAATACTTTCTCCTCTGCATCCACAGAGCTAGATACTAGTACTCTCGTTCTATAATGAATATTTTATAAGAGGGTTCTGATTTCCCACCAAAAAAATCCCCAAAACACGTATCATAATCTGAAAATTTATACTTTGTTCAACCTACTTATGGCCCTAAGGGGTTTTGGGGTTTTGGGGTTTTGGGG